TCCTGCTCCAAGTGTTGCCATTGCAGCCGAAAATGACGAGGCCAGATCGAAGCTGCTGGCCTCCTGCACTGTCAACCAGCGGCGCCTTGCCGATGACGGCTGCCTCGCGAGCGACGCGCACGCCAGCGCCCGACACCAGGCCCGCCGTGCCCCTGGTCGCGGGGCCCTCCGCCCCCACCAGGACTGGAGGGGGGACCTGGCCCCTCGCTCCAGCGCTCCTCATCGGCGTCGGCGGGCCGCTCGCAAGCACGGGAGGTGGCCGTCGCTGAGGAGGTGGCCGTCCCTCCGCCCCTCCGGTTGCCAGCGGGGGGTGCGCCTGCCCATCGCCATCGGGGCCGAGAGCTGCGACGTCGTGGGGCTGAATCCCACCGCTCTCGGCCCCTGACTGGCCGTCGGGGGGCCACCTCGGTGTTCCCGACCGCGCCAGCTGGCTACCTCGGGCAAGGGTGCTCGGCGCCGCCCGCCGCCTGCGAGGGGCGCGGACGCGCCAGCGGCCGTCGCAGCGCCTCCTCCACCTGACCCAGCAGCTGGGCCCGCGCACGTCCCGAGGGGGAGGCGCCCCGCTGTCCTCGACGTCGAGGCCGACGGTGGAAGCTGACCACTCCAACGCTCCCGCATCACCCACGGCGCGGCCCGTACCCTGCAGCAGGAGCAACGACAGCAGCCGCAGCCACCAAGGGGTCGCCGTCCGAGAGGGCCGCCCCTTGCTCGGCGAGGGCCTTTGCGAGGCACGGCTCCACCTGAGGCCACGCGCCCAGGGTCGCCCCGTGCTGGCCGCGGGCCGCAGCAGGGCCGTAGGGCCCGTCCGCTGGCCTGGCCCGCGAGGCTGGCGGCCCAGCCGCGGTGGGCCCTGCCTGCGTGGCGGCAGCGGGAGGGGCTGCCGCAGGCCCCCCAGAGGCCACGATATCGAGCGGCATGTCGTCATCCTCAGTCGCGAAGCCGTCGTCACCGACGCAGTCGCCCCAACGCTTCCTGGCCGAGCTGCTGCTGGGCCTGAGCACATGAGCGACCGCCTCCTTCTGCGTGTTGAGAATCCCGACGATCTCGGAAAACCTGGGGGGCAGCTCGGCTCCGTGCTGCTTGAGGAGATCCGACAGGGCGCCGACTTGAGTGAGCAACCCCTGGACTGCGTCCCCAAGCGGGCTCGGGACGCCTCCGACAGCCGCGTTGGCCCGCTGGATCGCCTGCTGCGTGACCTTGGCTCTGGTCTCTTCCAGCTCGGCAATCTGCCCCGTGACCTCATCCACTCCCAACTCGGCTGCGGACAGCTGCTCCTGCTTCTCCGCGATGAGTTCGCGCAGCTCGGACGCCTGCAGCTGGAGCTTCTCCCTCTTGGTGCGTGCCGTGGCCAGCTGGCGCTCGACCTTCTGAATGGCGTTGGCCTCGATGTGGAGCACCGAGTGAGGGGGGCGCTCCGTCCGCTGGGCCTCCTGGACGGCCAGCTCCAGGGCGGCGACCTGGTCCTTGCCCTGCTGGAGGGCATTCTCCGCCTCCCGCTGGAAGTCCGCCGAGAGCCCGAGCGCCGAGGCCCCCTGGAGCGTGTCGACGCGCTCCCTGGCCGCCACGAGCTGCGCCTGCAGCCCCTCGATCTGGGTCTTGGCCTCTCCCCAAGGTCGCGCTCGCCGTGCCCTGCTGTTGGGGGCGCTGCTGGGCGCGGTACTCCCAGAGAGGGCCCGCTGGGAGGCCGAGCGCTTCGCCGCGCGCTGCGCAGCCCTTCCCCTGGGTTGCTGCACGAACCCGTCTGCGTCCACCCGCGGGGGGGCCTTGTCGGAGCGGTACTCCTTCGTCCATGGGGGAGCACTGGTGCCGCACTCCTTGCACGTCCATCGCTTGTCACACCAGTTCCAAGCGTTACAGCCACGCTTAGCACGCAACCAGTACGCCCGCCTCGCCAGCCCCGAGGCAACCTCCGACATGGCGGCACCCCGAGGGACAGACCGCTGCTCGGCCGAAACACTCTGCCCTGCAGGCGCGAAGGAAACCAAAGTAGGCGAAGCTTCTGGCTCGTGGCAGAGCGCCCCTCGCGCTCAAGAACGCCCGACGGACTCGCGGTCGTCGGGTGCGCCATGGCCTTGAGCCAAAATGGCTACGGACCGTGCTCCTGTGTGGTCTGCCGTGCTCTTGTGGTCTGCCGTGTTCCTATGGGGTCTGCCGTGCTCCTTTGGGGTCTTCCGTGCTCCTTTATGGTCTACCGGGCTCCTGGGCTCCTGTGTGGTCTGCTTTGCTTCTGTGGAGTCTGCCGTGCTCCTGTGTGGTCTGCCGTGCTCCTGCGTGGTCTGCCGTGCTCCTTTTGTAGTCTGCCGTGCTCCTGTGGGGTCTTCCGTGCTCCTGCGTGGTCTGCCGTGCTCCTTTGAGGTTTGCCGTGTTCCTTTGGGGTCTGCCGTGCTCCTTTGGGGTCATCCGTGCTTCTTTTTGGTCTACTGGGCTCCTGTGTGGTCTGCTTTGCTCCTGTGGAGTCTGCCGTGCTCCTGTGCGGTCTGCCGTGCTCCTGTGTGGTCTGCCGTGCTCCTTTTGTTTTCTGCCGTGCTCTTGTGGGGTCTGCCGTGCTCCTGCGTGGTCTGCCGTGCTCCTTTGAACTCTGCCGTGCTCATGTGGGGTCTGCCGTGCTTCTGTGTGGTCTGCCGTTCTCCTGTGAAGTCTGCCATGCTTCTTTTGTGGTCTGCCGTGCTCCTGTGTGGTCTGCCGTGATCATGTGGGATCTGCCGTGCTCCTGTGTGGCCTGCCGTGCTCCTGAGGCGTCTGCCGTGTTCCTGTGGGGTCTGCCGTTCTCCAGTGTGGTCTGCCGTGCCCTGGTGGTCTGCCGGTTCTTTTGGGGTCTGCCGTGCTCCTTTGGTGTCTGCTGTGCTCCTTTGGTATCTGCCGTGCTCGTGTGTGGCTTGCCGTGCGTCTGTGTGGTCTGCCGTGTTCCTTGAAGTCTGCGGGGATCCCGTGAGGTCTGCCGTGCTTCTGTGTGCTCTGCAATGCTCCCGTGGTCCGTGCGGTCTGCCGTGCTCCTGTGTGGTCTGCCGCGCTCCTGTGTGGTCTGCCGTGCTCCTGTGTGGTCTGCCGTGCTCCTGTGTGGTCTGCCGTGCTCCTGTGGTCTGTCGTGCTCCTTTGTGGTCTGCCGTGTTCATGCGGGGTCTGCCGTGCTCCTGTGTGGTCTGCCACCCTGGCTCTAAAAACGCTGTCTTGGGATACTGGACTCTGGCAGCATTCCCGCTTTTTTGGAGGACGACTCGGAAGACAAACATGACAAACCACAGAAACACAGCATGCCACCGCAGGACGGCTGCCGCATAATGCTCCTGTGGACTGCCGTGCTCCTGCGGTCTGCCGTGCCCCTGCTGCCCCCCCCGCACGAGGGTGCAAGGAGCGGAAAAAGACGAGACCGCTGGAGAGAAGGAGAAGGAAGGAGCACGGACAGGGATCATTTCCAGAACACCCCGTCCTTCTCCTGGAACGTCAACCGCATCCCGACGTACAGTGGAAGTATGCCTGGCAAGCTTTGAGTGTCTCGGGGCGACGCTCTGCGCAAAAGCTCTTCCCTGACGTGTGGCATTTTGCGATCATCTTTCGAATGCACCGCCTCATCCCTGGCCTGTACGATGAATAGCGGCTTATGCCCACAAGACGTAGCTGCCTTGGCGTTCACGAGCGAGCGATGCACGCGGATCTTGTGGCGATGAACAATGAACTGCCAGTCGTATTTACTGAAAGGGGAACTCCCCTCGGAAAGTCTCTGGTCGTTCCGCTCCATGATGCGATCCAGGTACATCTGCCAACACTCGGAAGAGATACCCTTGCCGTCTCGCATCTCCGCGAGTAACTTGCTGAGCTTACCCGGGGCGCGAATGTTCACGTCAAGGCACACGACATGCCGTACCCGTTGCCACAACTGAACCCCCTGAGCGGCATCGGCGAGCTTCTTTCGCTTCACGTCCTGATCCTTTGCGTCGGGGTTCTCAGGGGCCGCGTCCAGGGCGCCAGTCTCCTTCAGAGGAGTCGCTAAACTCTTCTGCGCGTCTCCTGGATCCACGGGGGGCAACTGCAAAAAGTCTCCAGAAAGAATCATACCGAGGCCCCCGAAGGGTTTCCTGTCATCCTTCGCTTCCCTGATGCGGACCTCGGAGGCATGGAGCTGGTCACTGGAACCATAGAGACTTCGTCAATGAATCACGCGCGAGCTTTCTTCCAGCGTTGTCTGTGCTTCTCCAGCGCAGCAACGCTCAAACGGGCTTTCCGGTCCCTGACAGAAATGTTCCCGAACGGGAGCTTACACACAGCGTGTATGGTGTCGCCGCCGATGAGCCGGGCCGCCGAGTTGGATGGAGCACACTTTCGCACGGATTCGGCTCCCAAAAAATAAGAGACCAATGCCTCCGTAACGCGGAGCACCGCAGTTTTACCGGTGCCGCCAGGGCCCGTGAGCGCGAGCCGAAAGCCGTCCGCCAAAGAGGAGCTCGAAGAGCACTGCGATCCGGACGGGTCGTCCAGGGACCATTCCCGATTCATCACGTCTTGCAGCCACAACGCATTCCACAGAAGCGCCCGCGCCTGCTTCACGTTGATACCGCCCACATCAGGGATGTCGAGAACCTTTTGGCTCAACAAGAACAGCGCAGCCTCTACAACAGACGTCGATGACTTACGGGCCAACAAGGGCACCTTGCGCTCAAGTGCTACGGGAATACTCGCCATCGCCGCGTCGATGCGTTGCTGTAGCACATCTGACTTCGTCTTCTCGACTTTCCTGACCATCTCGACATTATCCTCGCCCTCGTTGACGATCTTGAAAAATTTCTGCTGCATGTCAGAGACGATGAGCGACTTTCGTGCTGACAACGAGCACTCTTGGAACGCACCGTCGCCGTCAGCGGCAGCTGTGCGCCCCGAAACGCACTTCTTTTCCTCTTCGATAAAGCCACGGAGATATTTTGCCTCGTTGGATCTGCTTTTCGCCAGAGTATCCGAGTTGACCAGTTCGTTCAAGTCAATCTCCACGGTTCCGCAAAGCTGGCTGACTGGATCTGCTTCGCGACCCGACGCGCGACGAGCTGCCGCATCACTGGGGGCATCGTCCTCCATCGCAGCATCGCCGCGACTCTCGTCCGAATCGGACTCCATCAACATCTCCTCGTCGTCGGCCCTGTTCGGATCGGGGCCATCGATATCGGCAGCAGCGTCGGGATAACCACGGAGAGCGTCCCCTGTCGGCACACGATCAACAACCGATACGTGGCGCTTTGCGACGAGGTCGTAATTCCTCAGGCATTCACACACGCGACAAGCCCACCATTCCTTGCTGAGAGGTGGCGTATCACTACGTGCTCGAGAAGCGATGGACTCCTGAGTGCTGCGCCAATCCTCGAACTCATTCAAAAATGCGCCGTAGTACTCCGCAGGTATGTGCGTCCACGGCGCGGGCGGGGCGCGACGCAGCACGTCCTCCACTGTTCGGAAAGGTCGAAAGAGCAGTTGCACGTACACCGCGTACTTAACCTCGTCTTCTAATCTCTTAGCTTCGTCATCTCCGTCTTTCTTTGCCTCCGGGCACGGAGGGAGAAATCCGCGAAGAACAGGTATCCGCCACGCGATGCTCAAGCGGACGGTCACGTAGTACGCGTACTTGTATAGCTCAGGCCCGAGGGGGTGATGCTCCGAAGGATCTCCGCGCAGAGGCACTTTTTCGTGCTCCCGGCTGTATAGCTTTTCTGCAGAGAACTGACGCTTACCGTCGGCCGCGACGTGCCACGCCAGAGTGTTCACGGGGCGATGTCCGTCAGGGCGAGCTTGCCGAGCTTCGCAAGCCGCGAAGAAAAAGTACAATGGGAAATCCTCCAGCTCGTCGGGGCGGTAGAGGTAATCGTACTCCGTCAGGAACGGCCTTCGGTAGAGTTTCGTAGAGTACGGACGCGCGGCAGTGGAGGGTCCACTCGTCTCTGCACCGGTTGCGACCTCGCTCAACCTTTTCGAGATCAGCATGCTGAGGCCTGGCGTCAAGACGGTAACGAACTCGTGGCTAGAGTACAGGGTCGGCTCCTCAAGCAGGTAACTGAGCATCTCTGGAAACCCTTTGTGCATCCTGTTGTTCGTCGCCGACAACAGCCTGTGGAGAATCCGCTTCGCCTTCTCGTGCACGTTCTCAGGCTCGTCGCCGCGGCCAGCAGCCTCCTTCGCGTCTTGCTCTTTCTGATGGAGCGAGACTGCAAGAGTCAGCACGAGTCCCTCCGCGTGCGGCGCGGACTTGCTAGAGTATGACGACAGTAAAACTCATTCGCCGCCTGCTGCTCTATCATTCCCGCTCTGGCGGTGGCAACCTCTGCCTCATCGGGCACGGCGTCTGGGCTGCTGCTCTTCAGAGCGCACAACCGCGGGAGCACTTGGATGTCGTGATTGCACTGCGGGCCGAGAATGATCGGGTAGGAAAGCTTGAAGTGCCACTGGTGCGTCGTCTCCAGAGCCGGCAACCCAACGTGTGGATACCCTAGAATCGGCGGAGGCCCAACGCCATCCCATCGAGGATGCAGCTGCAAGCCATGCTGTCGTTTGGCGACGAGGCGCCCCGTCTTCGGGTCCTCCACCTTCACGAGATGCCAATAGAACATGCGGCAAAAACCACGCTTTCCGAGACGCCCCTTGTGACAGACGGACGGCTTGCACACGTGGTTGCCCGTCTTGCGACTCCTTGAAAAAATCTCAACAACAGCGCGGCTGCCCCAGTCGCTACCGGACACGTTCTCGTCGCCGTGATACGAACCCACGAAGAAGGGATACTCAGGCACGCTCCTGGATAGAGCAGGCGGCACGTCGAGTCCGCGCGCCACGGTCTGCGCGAGGTTGCTCTCCTCAACGCGAGCGCTGCCGATCATGCTCCGCTGCTTCAGAGTCACCGGGAACAACGGCAGCCCGGCGGTGGTTCTCATCGCCTTAGGAACGGCGAAATGATGCGCTACGGCTTCCTGGCTGCGGAACATGACTGAGGCGTGATAGTAGTAGAGACGCTTAAATTCGTCGAGGAAAGAGTTCTTCTTGAAGATATCGTCGGGATGCGAGAAGCCAAGAATCTGCACGAGCATGTGTATGTGCAGCGCCTTCCGCATCTGTTCCTCAACAACCCCGAGATAGGAGCGTACGTACCCGAATACACCCGGCACCTCGCTCGCCGCGATGCCATCCGGAGGCAGGTTCGAAGGTCCATCGGCGCAGTTGAATATATAGCGCAACACGTCTTTGACGGTCGAGTGGAAAACATGTTGGGCATAGTAAGGGTCTTGCGCCACGCGGCGGTGGAGAAGACGAGGGTGCTCTGCTTGAAATTTTTTCATCCAGTCTTCCGCCTCCTTGTCGCTCATGTCCAGGGAGAATCGCCTCTGCATCTCCGTGCCGTCCTGCACCAGCAGCACCGTTAGCGGACTGCGAATGTCGTGGGGATTCAGCGTAAAGAACAAAGTCGAGCAGCCCGAGTTTATCTGAAGAGCTCGAAAATTCCACCTGTACGAGTCCCGCTCTTCGGCAGATCCACGCACTTTCCGGGACACGGCCTGCATTTTTTCAGCGGCTGTGCGGACTGGTTGGGTCAACTTTTTATTCCTCAGAAGATCGCTCATGCCCTTCGCATCACCTCCCATCGCGATCGCGGCGGCAACCAAACCTTCCGCTGTGATCTCGTTCACCCTTTGCATCTCATCGGGAGTTATGCCCATGAAGCCGCCGCCGGGCGTCTCCCTCATGCACGCTTCCACCTTACTCATTTGATCTCGACGCATAAAGATGTTGACCACGGATGCGACGAACTCCAGGTCCTTCCGCCAGTAATCACAATCTGCTCGTTTAAGTAAGCACTGGATCCACTTATTGGAAGACAAGAACGATACGGTACTATCCCCCGCTTTACGTTCTGGGCATGTTTCCTGACAGTCTCCCCGAGGAAACAACCGAACGAAGCAGGACGCCCAAAAATTCGGCGTGCGAGCAGACAAGAACGTGGTCTCGTGCGTGATCTTCAAGGGCGCCCTGTCGTCGGTCTCCGACCGCGCCCACTCTTCCAAACGTTTTCGCATCTTCTCATTCGACAGCTTCTCCAGGTCTTCGATGGCCTGGGCCATGCTCACACCGTGCATTCTCTTCTTCTCGGCGCGAGCAGATAAGTCGGCGGGGTCTAGAGCTGCCAATTCCTCTGTAAACCGCTGTGCCGCCTTGAAGTTTTTGATGACCTGTGTCCACAGCTGGAGGGAGTCGACGTCTGCTAAACCGCCGTTAACGACGGCGGCGTTTTCCGCCTCCTCGGGCCCGTTCTCCTCCGCGTCGCGTTCACCTTCTTCCGTGCAGTCAGCTGGTCCTTTAGACTGCACCGAAGCTCTCGAGCCGCTGATCGACGTCGCCGAGTCGACGAGCTCGCGCGGAACGCCCGAGGATCCACCAACGCTCGTCGCGTACGCGTCCAGCAACTCCTCGATCGACTCGTGGAGTAAGCCAGAATCCGCACATGCGGCATGGTGTCGCGTGGCTTCCATGTGGTTCCAGCTGTTGGAGCACAACCAACGAAATGCTGCTCGAAGTCGCGCCACGGAAACTTGCAAGTCAGGATGATGCCAGATACCGTCAGCGCGGCTTCCCACGAACTGGACGATCAGAGTGTGCGCCAGGGCCATCGGCGACAGACCGATGGCAGTCAGAGCCGCGTCGGGGCTCTGCGGGTACGCAACAACGTTCTTCTGGTGATAGCGCGGCGCCTCGTCGGCACTCGGCCTGGCGAAAGACGCCCTGTCCAACAACACGCGCTTCGCGCTGACGTACACCCTCGCCAGGTTGATCACTTTGCACTCGGTGTACGTTAAGTTCGTCAGCTCTTCCGGGTCAGGACCACGCCACATGCCATTCGCGAGAGCCTCGCTGGGCATGCGCAGCCGCGGGCGGCACCGCCCGCGGCTGTCTGTGTGCGTGTTCGACAATGCTTCGGCGCACTCCTTGCACATGCTCACGCGAAGATCTCCGCCGCTGCCCTCGGGCGCATCCGTGCATACTGCGGACTTGTACAATACCCACCGATGATTCGGATCACCTGGGGTGCGCACAAGACAACATGACAACATTCCCGGCCAACGTGGGCACGGGGGCCGAGCACGCCAGACAGCAGGAGCACGGCAGACGACTATAGCACGCAATCCACGGCAGCAGACACGATCACGGCACAGCAACACAGCACGAGTGGGCATAAGAGCACGTCAGACCACAGGAGCAGGAGCAGGAACACCGGAGCACGGCAGACCACAGGAGCACCACGACAACAGAAGCTGGGACAACGAGAGAGAGCGCCACCTGGAGAGACAACGGAGTGCTCCCGCATGTCTCTCCTCAGATTGTCTTCCCATAGGCGCACGCGGTCGACCCAGTTCTTTGCGTCCTCCACCTTCGTGAACCCGAGCTCGTGCGGCTCCCCGCGGCTGCACGCCTCCACGCTCTCTCGCGCTTCCTGGGCTCGCTCAGACACCTTGAAAAACTTTTTCAAGTACTGTTCAATGCTGAGGAGCTTGTCGACCTGCTCGTACCACGCCTCCTTGTTCTCATTCCAAAACTCTTCGGACCACGATAACCACTCCGGGCACTTGTCGCTGCTCGACGATGGGATGTGAACTCGATTCAAGTCGCACTTGGGCGTCTTTCGACAGCAGACGGCACAGGCATCATGGACGTAGCGTTCGTCCGTCTGCGCATTCTTGCACTGCGCCACGCAAAACCTGCCCACCTGCGGACTGACCGCGCCCAGGCCCTCTGCGCGCGCCCGTTCGAGCACTGACCTCCGGTACGTCTGGAGAATGTCTTCGCCGTCTCGTTGATGGAGATCAAGCCTGCACTCCTCGAGCAGATGCCGTCGCTTGTCGTCGTCGTCGGAGCCACCCCACGGTTGCTTGCAGAAGCGGCAATGGTTCGGGTCCAGGTACTCGGGCGTCTCCGCGTACTTCGGCAAGGACCCGGGCTCGGGCTTTGCCAGAGCGAGGAGTACCTGCAAAGCGGGTGCGGATCGGGCGACGTCGTCGTCGAGCCTCTGCGGTCGCGGCTCGTCGGCGAGGAACTTCCTGCTCTCGTCGCGGACGAGGTCTGCCAGCCTCTCCTCCCCGAAGCATTTCCGGCAAAAGTGCTGATATACCCTGGAGGTCTGGGCTGGTTTGACACAGCATCCGATGCACTTGGAGCCAGCTGCCTTCCAGCACACGTCGCACAGCGCCGCGCTCTTCTTGAAATGCGACGAGCACACAGAGCAGCTCCTCACGACTTTGGTGCAGCTCTCTGTTCCGCATTCGATCATGGACACCTGCAGCGGTTCCTTGGTGGCGGAGTCCTCGGTCCTGTAACAGAATGCGCACTCGGGGGAATCCCAATGTGTTTTACACAGGCCCGCCGCCCGCTGCTCTGGTGTTGTGCACTGAGGACACCACAAAGCGAGGTTGTCGCACATCTCGCACTGCGGGGTCTCCAGCGACGCCGGCGGCACAGCGTGGCAGACGGCGCACGAGCGCGCAGCGAAACAGGCCTTGCAAGCTCGCCGATATATCACTTCAGTTCGACTTCGCATCCGACCGCAGTGCACGCAGCACCGACCGTCCTGGGCCCAGCACGACTGGCACTTCGCTTTCGATTGCCCGTTAGACATGCCAGAACACGCGCTACAGAACACCACTGATGCGTCGCAAGATTCGTTGCTACACTTCGACCGAGTCAAGGAGCCAGCAGGAGTCAGCGCAGCGCAGTGCGAACAAGGGATCGAAGATGTAAAGCACTCGGAGCACAGCTTGAGATTGCGTTCCTCAGGCGAAGTGTGCGTCGGACACGCCATAGCACATCTTTTTCCCGCGGCCTGCGGGTGCTTCTCGCGTGACTCGCAGGCCACGCACAGCGTTGGTTCGTCTTCCTCGTTGCACCAGGTACACTCAGGGCAGCTGCGAGACCGATAACACGGCTTACACATGCCACCGCTGAGCTCGCGCTGCGCACCGCAGAATCGACAACATCCCTTTCTCTTCTCCTGCTTCTGGCGGTACAGAGTAGGATGCTTCTCCTTGTAGCAAGACTTGCAGTAACCGTCATAACCGGACTGAGCCTTCGGGGGCTGCTCACCACGACGGGTCTTGTGATACCCTTTGCAATACTTGATCGTCTTAGCAGCACGCGCTCGACAAACAAGAGACCCACAGAAAATCATATAGAACGCCAGTCGGAGCATGCCGAAAATAAACATCGGTAAGAATCGCCCCGAGATCACCTACTAGAAAGTTGGATCTCACAGGGCTAATAGAAGCACCTCCACCGCGCACACCCTGCCGCAGCTTTGCAACCACATTGAGCCCAATACAACATGTGCCAACAACATAGAGCACGTGAGAGAGCGACTTTAATCGTCGAGGGCTATCAAGAGCACCCACGGCATTGCGCACTGGAAAAAAATGAAGGCGCGCTCCTGTGCTCTGCTATACTCCTGGCGTTGCCGTGCTGATGGACCGTGTTGGTCTGGTGTGCTCCTGTGATACGCGGCGCCCCTGCGACCTGCACTGATCCTGAATGCTTTGCCGTGCTCCTGTGTGTTCTGCCGTGTTCCTGTGTGGCCTGCCGTGCTCTTGTGTGGTCTGCCGTGCTCCTGTTGGTCTGCCGTGCTCTTCTGTGGTCTGCCGTGCTCCTGTGGGTTCCGCCGTGCTCCTGTGGCGTCTGCCGTGCTCCTGTGTGGTCTGCCGTGCTCCTTTGTGGCCTGCCCTGCTCCTGTGTGGTCTGCCGTGCTCCTGTGTGGCCTGCCGTGCTCTTGTGTGTCTGCCGTGCTCCTGTTGGTCTGCCGTGTTCTTCTGTGGTCTGCCGTGCTCCTATGGGGTCTGCCGTTGTTCGGCCGTCTTGAGGGCACTCTTAGGGCATAGTCTGCCGTGCTCCTCGTCTTGGTCTGCCGTGCTCCTCGTCTTGGTCATCCTTTCCGTCGTCTTGAGGGCGCTCTTGGTGCCTGGTCTGCCGTGCTCCTCGTCTTGGTCTGCCGTGCTCCTCTCGGTTCCTAAGCCTGGTCTGCCGTGCTCCTCGTCTTGGTCTGCCGTGCTCCTCTCGGTTCCTACGCGCGGTCTGCCGTGCTCCTGTGGGGAGCACGGCAGACCACAGGAGCAAGGCAGACCACACAGGAGCACGGCAGACCACACCTCGATTTTTTGAGGATGTCTCGAGCGAAATGGCCGTGGTCTGCCGTGCTCCACACGGGAGCACGGCAGACCACCTGCTCATTTTCTGAGGACGTCCCGAGCGAAAACGTCATTTTTGACATAAGAGGTTCTAAAACACCTCTGTCGGCATCTCATTTTTTCGAGGATGTCTCGAGCGAAACGCTCATTTTTCATGCATAACAAAAACCTGACCGGACAAGAACGGGAAGCGTCCTCTTGTCCCCTGGGCTTATGAAATATTCCACGTTTTTAGTACGGCATACCACAGCAGTGCCACGTACCACTGCCGTGCTTCTTTGGGGTCTGCCGTGCTCCTGTGGAGTTTGCCGTGCGAACGTGTGGTCTGCCGTGCTCCTGTGTGGTCTGGCGTGCTCCTGTATGGTCTGCCGTGCTCTTGTGTGGTTTGCCGTGCTCCTGTGTGGTCTGCCGTGCTCCCGTGGGGTCTGCCGTGTCCTGTGTGGTCTGCCGTGCTCCTGTGTGGTCTGCCGTGCTCCTGTGTGGTCTGCCGTGCTCCTTCTTGGTCTGCCGTGCTCATGTGGGGTCTGCCGTGCTCCTGTGCGGTCTGCCGTGCGAACGTGTGGACTGCCGTGCTCATTTGGGGTCTGCCTTGCTCCTTTGTGGTTTGCCGCGCTCCTGTGTGGTCTGCCGTGCTCCTGTGTGGTCAGCCGTGCTCCTGAGGCGTCTACGGTGCTCTTTGGGGTCTGCCGTACTCATTTGGGGTCTGCCGTGCTCCTGTGGTCGGCCGTGCTCATTTGGGGTCTGCCGCGCGCCTGTGAGATCTGCCGTGCTCCTGTTGGGGAAACGCCAGCGGCGTTCGGGGTACAACAAAAAGGCGCGTTTATGTTGTACCCGCGCGCGGTCTGCCGTGCTCCTGTGGGTTCCGCCGTGCTCCTGTGGCGTCTGCCGTGCTCCTGTGGCGTCTGCCGGGCTCCTGTGTGGTCTGCCGTGCTCCTTTGTGGTCTGCCGTGCTCCTGTGGAGTCTGCCGTGCTCCTGTGTGGTCTGCCGTGCTCTTGTGGTCTGCCGTGCTCATTTGGATTTGCCGTGCTCATGTGGGGTCTGCCGTACTCCTGTGTGGTCTGCCGTGCTCCGGTGGTCTGCCGTGCTCCTTTGGGGTCTGCCTTGCTACTGTGGGGTCTGCTGTGTTCCTGTGTGGTCTGCCGTGCTCCTGTGGTTTGCCTTGCTCCTGTGTGGTCTGCCGTGCTCCTTTTGGGTCTGCTCTGCCGTGCTCCTGTGGGGTCTGCCGTGCTCCTGTGGGTTCCGCCGTGCTCCTGTGGCGTCTGCCGTGCTCCTGTGTGGTCTGCCGTGCTCCTTTGTGGTCTGCCGTGCTCCTGTGTGGTCTGCCGTGCTCCTGTGTGGCCTGCCGTGCTCTTGTGTGTCTGCCGTGCTCCTGTTGGTCTGCCGTGCTCTTCTGTGGTCTGCCGTGCTCCTATGGGGTCTGCCGTTGTTCGGCCGTCTTGAGGGCACTCTTAGGGCATAGTCTGCCGTGCTCCTCGTCTTGGTCTGCCGTGCTCCTCGTCTTGGTCATCCTTTCCGTCGTCTTGAGGGCGCTCTTGGTGCCTGGTCTGCCGTGCTCCTCGTCTTGGTCTGCCGTGCTCCTCTCGGTTCCTAAGCCTGGTCTGCCGTGCTCCTCGTCTTGGCCCTGGCGGCCTGCCCTCGGGGAGGCCCGAAGCGGCCCCTCGGGAGGGTGTGCTGGAGGTTGGCCTGAAGCGGCCCCTCGGGGAGGGCGGCCCGAAGCGGCCCCCTCCTGCTGGCCCTGGAGGCTCCAGAGAGCCTCGGGCCCTCCCTTTTTTCCAGCCTTTAGAGGCCCCACCACACACACACACACAGGAGCACGGCAGACCACACCTCGATTTTAGGAGGATGTCTCGAGCGAAATGGCCGTGGTCTGCCGTGCTCCACACGGGAGCACGGCAGACCACCTGCTCATTTTCTGAGGACGTCCCGAGCGAAAACGTCATTTTTGACATAAGAGGTTCTAAAACACCTCTGTCGGCATCTCATTTTTTCGAGGATGTCTCGAGCGAAACGCTCATTTTTCATGCATACGAAATTGTTTTTGATATTTTTCAACATCCCGATTTTTTGAGGATGTCTCGAGCGAAACCGTCATTAAAAAAAAAAACACTTCTTAAACGATAGCCTCCAACACCTCGATTTTTCGAGGATGTCTCGAGCGAAATGGCCATTTTGGGGAATCCGCCAATGAAAAACGCCGTGCGGCCCCGCAACCCATAGATATAAAGATATATATATATATATATATATATATTTACTCAAGGATTCAGCCAGAACGTCCCGCTTGCTTCTCGTACCTCGAAGACGCTTCCCGTCATTTTTGATATTTTTCAACATCCCGATTTTTTGAGGATGTCTCGAGCGAAACCGTCATTTAAAAAAAAAACGACTTCTTAAACGATAGCCTCCAACACCTCGATTTTTCGAGGATGTCTCGAGCGAAATGGCCATTTTGGGGAACCTGACCGGACAAGAACGGGAAGCGCCGTTTTTTATCCACCACGTGCGTCAGAGACCGTATTGGCGAGAACGTCAGAGAAACCCATAAACGCAACAGAACAGACTAAATGGTGGCCTGCCGCGCTGGTCTGTCGAGGTAGTCTGCTGCCCTGGCCACATCATGGTGTCGACACCGTGCTTTTCTCTCGGCCACGCGGGCCCCCACCCGTTGTCGCCCAGCCTACTTTTTCTGTTCCAGCCTGTCTTGTCTTTTGTTTGTCCGTCGTCGTCGTCGCGTGCCTTTCCTTTGTCGTGGTCGTCGTTTTCATTATAATCGTCCGCTGTTGCCGTTCTCGCTGTCGCCGTCGTTATCATTTTATGATTGCGGTCGTTTTTCTGATTGTTTTTTTGTTGTTGGATTCCGTGTTCGGTTGGTTTTTGTGTTATGTTTGTGGTCGTTTTCTGTCATCGTTTTTTGTCGTAATTTTCGAGATCGTTATTGACGAAGACGACGACGACGACGATGACGACGACGACGATCTGCCGTGCTTCTGTGGCGTCTGCGGTGCTCCTGTGGTCTGCCGTGCTCCTTCTTGGTTTGCCGTGCTCCTGTGTGGTCTGCCGTGCTCCTGTGCGGTCTTCCGTGCTCCTGTGGTCTGCCGTGCTCCTTTGGGGTCTGCCGTGCTCCTGTGGAGTTTGCCGTGCGAACGTGTGGTCTGCCGTGCTCCTGTGTGGTCTGGCGTGCTCCTGTATGGTCTGCCGTGCTCTTGTGTGGTTTGCCGTGCTCCTGTGTGGTCTGCCGTGCTCCCGTGGGGTCTGCCGTGTCCTGTGTGGTCTGCCGTGCTCCTGTGTGGTCTGCCGTGCTCCTGTGTGGTCTGCCGTGCTCCTTCTTGGTCTGCCGTGCTCATGTGCGGTCTGCCGTGCTCCTGTGCGGTCTGCCGTGCGAACGTGTGGACTGCCGTGCTCATTTGGGGTCTGCCTTGCTCCTTTGTGGTTTGCCGCGCTCCTGTGTGGTCTGCCGTGCTCCTGTGTGGTCAGCAGACCCAGGGCTGAGGGAAGGCTGGAGCAGTGCTCTGGTGGTCCTTCACCCGCCCAGCTCCGTCCCCTCCCACTCTGGACCGATCTTGCGGGAAGCTGGCTTGTGGCAGCGCATCGCGCGTCGGCCGCCAGCCCAGGTGCCGGCCCGGGCGTTCGGTTCGAGCGCCGGCCTGGGTGCCGGAATCGGCCCGGAAGGGGTTCCAGGGCGCCGGGAGCAGAAAATCAATATTTTCGAAAGAAAAATATGTCTTGGAGTGGCCTTTTTTCCGCACCGCCTCGGAATTCAATTTTCCGGCGCCGGCCGGCGCCGGAACCGGCCCGGGCGCTGGCCCGGGTGCTGGCCCAGGCGTTCGGCTCGAGCGCCGGCCCGGGTGCCGGAAGCGGCCCGGAAGGGGTTCCCGGGCGCCGGGAGCAGAAAATCAATATTTTCGAAAGAAAAATATGTCTTGGAGTGGCCTTTTTTCGGCACCGCCTCGGAATTCAATTTTCCGGCGCCGGCCGGCGCCGGAACCGGCCCGGGCGCTGGCCCGGGTGCTGGCCCGGGCGTTTGGCTCGAGCGCCGGCCCGGGTGCCAGAAGCGGCCCGGAAGGGGTTCCCGGGCGCCGGGAGCAGAAAATCAATATTTTCGAAAGAAAAATATGTCTTGGAGTGGCCTTTTTTCGGCACCGCCTCGGAATTCAATTTTCCGGCGCCGGCCGGCGCCGGAACCGGCCCAGGCTGCCGTGCTCCTGTGTGGTCAGCCGTGCTCCTGAGGCGTCTACGGTGCTCTTTTGGGGTCTGCCGTACTCATTTGGGGTCTGCCGTGCTCCTGTGGTCGGCCGTGCTCATTTGGGGTCTGCCGCGCGCCTGTGAGATCTGCCGTGCTCCTGTTGGGGAAACGCCAGCGGCGTTCGGGGTACAACAAAAAGGCGCGTTTATGTTGTACCCGCGCGCGGTCTGCCGTGCTCCTGTGGGTTCCGCCGTGCTCCTGTGGCGTCTGCCGTGCTCCTGTGGCGTCTGCCGGGCTCCTGTGTGGTCTGCCGTGCTCCTTTGTGGTCTGCCGTGCTCCTGTGGAGTCTGCCGTGCTCCTGTGTGGTCTGCCGTGCTCTTGTGGTCTGCCGTGCTCATTTGGGATTTGCCGTGCTCATGTGGGGTCTGCCGTACTCCTGTGTGAGCTGTGAGCTGCGGGGCCTGTGAAGGCTAAAAGGAGCCCGAGGCCCGCGGAGCCCGTTGGCCCCAGGGCCTCAAGGGCCAAACCTAGGGGCCCCTAAGGAGCCACCGCAGGGGAGGGCGCGAAGCGCCAGACGCGCGAAGCGCACGATTTCAAAGAAATCAAGAAGGCAGCAGGGGCCGAGGCGCGCAAGCACGCCCAACAAGCCCTCCTCGCTGCAAAAGAGGCGCGGGGCAGAAGTTGCTGCCTCACGCACTCACAGTAAGAAGAAGACGAGGGGGGCGGACACAACAGGAAGAAGAAGATGATGCTGCATCACTCCCCCTCGTCATCATCAGCACGGCGGCGCCTCTTGCGCCTGTCCTCGCGCGCCGTCTCAGCCGCGGCTGACCACTCGAGGAGGCTCGCCTCGTCAAGTCCGTAGGCGCTCAGCCATGCCTCCCTCGAGGCCCCCGCGGGGCCAGGCGCCAACGGCTCTGCCGCCTCCTCGGCCAGCGGCCGCCGCGCCGCTGGGGGGCCCGCTGCTGGCGCCGGCGGCCTCGCCGCCAGGGGCATCCTCGGGGCGGACCCCCAGCCACTGCAGGAAGCGCACCCTGGCGTCCATCGGCACCACGTCCTCCTTGCGCAGGCTGGGCACTGTCGCGCCGACCCGCTTGCTGCCGCTGTGGGGCGTGCCAGCAGGATGCCGCCCCTGCAGCCAGCGCGCCTTCTGGTCTCGCCTGCCCTTGGGAAGCCCAGAAGACCCTGGGCATTGCTCCTTGAGCTTGGGCGCCGCGCCTGAGCGTCCGCCCAGCCGCGCGTACGCCCCGCAGTGGGTGCACGCCATCAGCTCCTGCTCGGCGGCGCCCTCCCCGCACCTGGCAAAGGCCAGGACGTGGCCAGCGACGACGAAGGCCGTCGCACCGAGGGATACGCCACCAGCGCGCGCCGCCGACGCCCACCCGTCGCCCGAACCCGAGTCGGACGGGCGGCTGCTGGCGGGCTCCACCACAGGCACGGCGAAGGAGACAGCCGTCCGCTCGCTGCCCTCGGGTAGGCCCTCGCAGTCCTTGACCTCGATCCCCTGCCAGATGAGGGAGGCTTGCGCCACCCAGCATGAGAGCTCCCTCACCACCTCCATCGCGCCGAAGAACTCGCGCCTGGCCACAGGGCTGGCGCGGTGCAGCTCCGCACCTGCCTTGGCCCAGCGGTCTGCATGACCGTTGCCGCGAAGGTCCGACTCCGTGATCTTGCCATCCATCACGTCTCTGGCGGCGCAGTGGGCCGCCACTTTGGTAACCTTGAGCATGTCCACGTCCAGCGAAGCGTAGATCCCCTCCCAGAGATGGGCATTGGGCTTGTTGGCTGCCGTCGCGTACCTCTTGCCCAACGTGAGGCAGCTGACCGTAGACGCACAATCGATGAGGATCTCGTCCACACTCGGGCCCAGGAAGCGAGAAAGCATCCAGACCGCGAAATCCTCGCCGTCCTTCGCCGTCTGGAAAGGGCAGAGGTCTTGGCGCACGCTGCCGTACACCGCGCACTCCATGTTGCCGTCGGAGTCGCACTGCACGATGCTCCAACCCGCACGCCGTAGGCTCTCGTGCTCGGGGTCGAGCGCCGACCCATCCAGGTAGAGGCGCCCCCCGAGGAGACCGTCAGCGGGGCGATTGCACCACATGACCGCCATGGCATCCGACCTCGGGGCGGCCCTCGGGGGCTGCGGAAGCCAGCAGCGCGCGAAGCATTCCCCCGCCTCTTCACCGCGGCCACGTGCACGGTGTGCGCAGCCCCGTAGGCGGTCGGAGGTAGAGTCGCGCCTCGGCCCCGCGAGGACTGGACACTCGAACAGCCTGTGCCAGAGGCTGCCGCGGGAGGCATCGCAAGCGCAGCAGCGAGCGTGCTCCCTCTCCCCCGCCGAGTGCAGACGGGTCTGGGGCCAGTGGGCGTTGGACAGGAAACTCACCACCGCCGCCTTCTCCCTGGGGCTGAGCTTGCTGCCAGGCCCAAGGACCTCCGAGAAGGCCTCCCAGAACAGGGGCGACGGGGGGAGCGCACCGTGGCCGAGGCGGGCCAGCTCTGACCTGTCCGAAGCACGCCGCGCCCCTGCCGCTGCCAGCAGGCCCAGCTCGCGCGGCCCCATCATGCGCAGGTCCAGGATGTGGCCGTCGTCGGTGGCGAGGCGGGTGCCTTGGACGAGCCTCCAGCCCACCCTGGTGAGCGAGAGGGCCAAGGCGTCCACAGGCGTACGGCAGTGCGCCCAAGGGGCTGCTGCTCCCGCGTGCCTCCGCTCCGCCTCCTGCAAGGCCGTCTCGAACATGCGCTGCGGGACCTCCCCCGACTGAAGGAGGCTGGCCGCCATCTGCACTGCGGCGCGAAGCAGCGCGGGGCTCGGGTCGAGGTCGATGGACCGCATGACCTCCACCGCTCTGAGTCTCAGCCCGAGTGAGGCGCCCTTAGGGAACTTCCCAGCCGAGCGCACAGCCGCCAAGCGCCACGAATGAAGCTCCCTATCAGGTACACCCGTCACAGTACGCCCCCACAGCATCGCCGCGGTGGGCCCAGCACGGTGGACCATCTCGGTCGCCGCACCAGCTGAGCGAAGCACCCCTAGCCTGCGTCCTCGCCGAAGGCCGCCGACCGCGCGCACAGCACCTTCATGCACTCCACGACGAGTGATGTTGGCGTCGGTGCCGAGGTTCCTCGCCTGTAGTCCCCTCTTGAAGGCCAAGCCCTGCGCAGCCCACTCCTCGGAGAGCTCCTTGGCGAGCTGCGGCGACGAGGCCAGGAAGACCGACTTACTCTCGTTGAGTGGGAGGTGCTGCTCACGCAGCTGGCGGACCACTGCACAGCTGGAGGCCAACATCTGCTGCTTCACGAGTCGGGCCGTGCCGACCGCCTGGAGCGAGATGTCGTCGACCACATTCCTCGGCGTGACCAAGGGGCACGTCGCCCCCGCGGCCAGGAGGGCGCCCAGGACTGGGAGCTTCGCAACTGCTGTCGCACACGCACACCCAGCCAACACCGTACCAGTAGTGCCGAAGGCGGGGGAAGCCATGCCCGCCGCAAGGATCATCCTAGGGGCCTGGTAGGAGGTGAGGAGGCCGCGCAACAGCCTGAGGTTGAACCCGAAACGTACAGCATTCGCCCAAAGAACATCGTGACGCACATGCTCGTAGAACTTGCTGATGTCCAGGAAGAGGCTCGCGGCCTCGAACTGCTGGTTCGCCTTCGCGAACCCCGCAAAACAGTTGTGCAGCCACCCAGCCCGCTCACAGTCCCGCCCGTCACATCCCCAGAAGAAGGGGAAGTTGTGGCCAGCCTCCCAGCGGGCACAGCACGGCTGGCGGAGGCGCGACCACAGCCGCAGGACCAGCGGCAGCAACGCAATGGGCCTTACCCCCCCATCTGCCTTCGGGATGAACACCATCAGGGAGACCTGCCCGTTGATCGATGCAGGGGCGTCGTCGTAGGCCGATAGGATGTCCAGGATGCGCTGCTGCAGCGCCACGGGCAGCAGGAGGATCTGCCGAGGGTGCAGGGAGTCGCACCCGAGACCCACCGAGGGGCTGTAGCGCTTGCAGGCTGCCTGGAGCTGCTCCAGCGAGATGGGTGGCAGCCGCCACTCGCCAACGTCCCAGCTGCTGGCCCCTGCGCCAAGGGCAAACCCTTCCTGGAGCCACAGCTTCTGCCAGACACTCGTGAGCTCTCCAATCGCTGCCATCCCAACCAGCCTCCTGCCCGAGCCAGCGTCCCTGACCGTCGGCGGGGCCGTCGCCTTCGAGAAGCGGTGGGCCAGACGACCGCCCTTCTCGACCGCTGTCTGTGCCCAGTTGCGCCAGGCCTGGGCGCTCTGAGCCGCGTCGCGGCGCTGGGATACACTGAGCAGCCCTTGAAGATCCCGAACAGCATCAGGGCTGCCGTGGACGCCCGCTTGAAACACCAGGTCGCCTAGTCGATCAGGAGCTGCGCCAGGGAGAGCCCCACCGACCGAGTCGGCAGCCTCCTGCACCGCCTCTAGCAAGAGCTGCGCCCTGAGCTCGGCCTGGTGCCCGTACCAGTCTGCATGCCGAGGGTGCCAGCGGCCAGTCCTCTCCGCGCGCACCCGCTGGAGGGCCACGTCCAGGCAGCTCCTCAAGCGGTGCGTGAGGAGGCTGAACCTGAACCTGGCACCCCGCCTGACCAGGGCACTGAGAGGCTTGAGGGACAGCCTAGGCCCCTCTCCTCTGCCGAGATGACGGGCCAAGTCTGCCTGGCCGATGCCGTGGATGCCGACCAGGGTGCCTTCGGCAGCTGCCGCCCACTCGCTGAAGGCGGCGGAGAGGCTGGTCGGTGGAGTGCCTGCGTCCCAGGACCACGAGACGCCCCTGGGCGCGACCTGTCCCTTCTTGCCAACCGTGTAGCACACAATCTCGGCGTCCTCGTGCGCCCGAAGGAGCTCAGGGGCAACTTCGGGGAAGCGTGCTGGCCTGGACGGAACCTCCACCAACGCATCTGCCCGAACATCCTGGAGGCGAAGCAGGACTGGGCGATGAGGGCGTAGACCGAAGCCCTCGAGCGTGGTGGCGCAGGAGGCCGTGCAGGCTGCCAACGCCGCGGAAGCCACGAACCAGTCGTAGAGGTGGTCGCAGCCCTCGGCATGGCACGTCGCCTCCGAGGGCCCCAGGACGTGCCCCCGCACCGCCGCGGGCCACCCCAACTCCTCCAGGGGCTCGGGCTCCATGTTGAAGTCGGCTTGGAGGACCCACGGAATGTCGGCAGAGAAGCCCGTCACCTCCGAGATGGCCGAAAACATGTCCAGGTTGGTGCCTCGAGGGCCCACAGAGTGCTGAAAATACCCAGCGAGCACCAGGAACCGCAGGCCAGAGGCGGCGGCGACCTCCACTCCGATGAGGCGGTGCCGCAAGGCCGAGGGCAGCGGGCACGCAGACTCGTCGGCCTGCAAGCCGTCTCGCACCAGAATCGCCACGCCGCCTGAGGTCGCCTGGGGCCCCTGCTTCTCCGTCAGCGCTGCCTCGTGGAGAAAGGCCGCGTAACCCAGGCCTCGGGCCTGAGCCGCCGCACTGGGCAGGCGCTCATGCGGGAGCCTCGTCTCCTGCAGCGCCACTACGTCGGGCCAGTAGTCGCACGCCTTGAAGAAGGCCTCAATGGCCTCAATGCTCCTGCTCCAAGTGTTGCCATTGCAGCCGAACATGACGAGGCCAGATCGAAGCTGCTGGCCTCCTGCACTGTCAACCAGCGGCGCCTTGCCGATGACGGCTGCCTCGCGAGCGACGCGCACACCAGCGCCCGACACCAGGCCCGCCGTGCCCCTGGTCGCGGGACCCTCCGCCCCCACCAGGACTGGAGGGGGGACCTGGCCCCTCGCTCCAGCGCTCCTCATCGGCGTCGGCGGGCCGCTCGCAAGCACGGGAGGTGGCCGTCGCTGAGGAGGTGGCCGCCCCTCCGCCCCTCCGGTTGCCAGCGGGGGGCGCGCCTGCCCATCGCCATCGGGGCCGAGAGCTGCGACGTCGTGGGGCTGAATCCCACCGCTCTCGGCCCCTGACTGGCCGTCGGGGGGCCACCTCGGTGTTCCCGACCGCGCCAGCTGGCTACCTCGGGCAAGGGTGCTCGGCGCCGCCCGCCGCCTGCGAGGGGCGCGGACGCGCCAGCGGCCGTCGCAGCGCCTCCTCCACCTGTCCCAGCAGCTGGGCCCGCGCACGTCCCGAGGGGGAGGCGCCCCGCTGTCCTCGACGTCGAGGCCGACGGTGGAAGCTGACCACTCCAACGCTCCCGCATCACCCACGGCGCGGCCCGTACCCAGCAGCAGGAGCAACGACAGCAGCCGCAGCCACCAAGGGGTCGCCGTCCGAGAGGGCCGCCCCTTGCTCGGCGAGGGCCTTTGCGAGGCACGGCTCCACCTGAGGCCACGCGCCCAGGGTCGCCCCGTGCTGGCCGCGGACCGCAGCAGGGCCGTAGGGCCCGTCCGCTGGCCTGGCCCGCGAGGCTGGCGGCCCAGCCGCGGTGGGCCCTGCCTGCGTGGCGGCAGCGGGAGGGGCTGCCGCAGGCCCCCCAGAGGCCACGATATCGAGCGGCATGTCGTCATCCTCAGTCGCGAAGCCGTCGTCACCGACGCAGTCGCCCCAACGCTTCCTGGCCGAGCTGCTGCTGGGCCTGAGCACATCAGCGACCGCCTCCTTCTGCGTGTTGAGAATCCCGACGATCTCGGAAAACCTGGGGGGCAGCTCGGCTCCGTGCTGCTTGAGGAGATCCGACAGGGCGCCGACTTGAGTGAGCAACCCCTGGACTGCGTCCCCAAGCGGGCTCGGAACGCCTCCGACAGCCGCGTTGGCCCGCTGGATCGCCTGCTGCGTGACCTTGGCTCTGGTCTCTTCCAGCTCGGCAATCTGCCCCGTGACCTCATCCACTCCCAACTCGGCTGCGGACAGCTGCTCCTGCTTCTCCGCGATGAGTTCGCGCAGCTCGGACGCCTGCAGCTGGAGCTTCTCCCTCTTGGTGCGTGCCGTGGCCAGCTGGCGCTCGACCTTCTGTATGGCGTTGGCCTCGATGTGGAGCACCGAGTGAGGGGGGCGCTCCGTCCGCTGGGCCTCCTGGACGGCCAGCTCCAGGGCGGCGACCTGGTCCTTGCCCTGCTGGAGGGCATTCTCCGCCTCACGCTGGAAGTCCGCCGAGAGCCCGAGCGCCGAGGCCCCCTGGAGCGTGTCGACGCGCTCCCTGGCCGCCACGAGCTGCGCCTGCAGCTCCTCGATCTGGGTCTTGGCCTCTCCCCAAGGTCGCGCTCGCCGTGCCCTGCTGTTGGGGGCGCTGCTGGGCGCGGTACTCCCAGAGAGGGCCCGCTGGGAGGCCGAGCGCTTCGCCGCGCGCTGCGCAGCCCTTCCCCTGGGTTGCTGCACGAACCCGTCTGCGTCCACCCGCGGGGGGGCCTTGTCGGAGCGGTACTCCTTCGTCCATGGGGGGGCACTGGTGCCGCACTCCTTGCACGTCCATCGCTTGTCACACCAGTTCCAAGCGTTACAGCCACGCTTAGCACACAACCAGTACGCCCGCCTCGCCAGCCCCGAGGCAACCTCCGACATGGCGGCACCCCGAGGGACTGACCGCTGCTCGGCCGAAACACTCTGCCCTGCAGGCGCGAAGGAAACCAAAGTAGGCGAAGCTTCTGGCTCGTGGCAGAGCGCCCCTCACGCTCAAGAACGCCCGACGGACTCGCGGTCGTCGGGTGCGCCATGGCCTTGAGCCAAAATGGCTACGGACCGTACTCCTGTGTGGTCTGCCGTGCTCCGGTGGTCTGCCGTGCTCCTTTGGGGTCTGCCTTGCTACTGTGGGGTCTGCCGTGCTCCTGTGTGGTCTGCCGTGCTCCTGTGGTTTGCCTTGCTCCTGTGTGGTCTGCCGTGCTCCTTTTGGGTCTGCTCTGCCGTGCTCCTGTGGGGTCTGCCGTGCTCCTGTGGGGTCTGCCGTGCTCTTGTGGGGTCTGCCGTGCTCTTGTGTGGTCTGCCGTGCTCCTTTGTGGTCTGCCGTGCTCCTGTGTGGTCTGCCGTGCTCCTGTGTGGCCTGCCGTGCTCTTGTGTGGTCTGCCGTGCTCCTGTTGGTCTGCCGTGCTCTTCTGTGGTCTGCCGTGCTCCTATGGGGTCTGCCGTTGTTCGGCCGTCTTGAGGGCACTCTTAGGGCATAGTCTGCCGTGCTCCTCGTCTTGGTCTGCCGTGCTCCTCGTCTTGGTCATCCTTTCCGTCGTCTTGAGGGCGCTCTTGGTGCCTGGTCTGCCGTGCTCCTCGTCTTGGTCTGCCGTGCTCCTCTCGGTTCCTAAGCCTGGTCTGCCGTGCTCCTCGTCTTGGTCTGCCGTGCTCCTCTCGGTTCCTACGCGCGGTCTGCCGTGCTCCTGTGGGGAGCACGGCAGACCACAGGAGCACGGCAGACCACACAGGAGCACGGCAGACCACACCTCGATTTTTTGAGGATGTCTCGAGCGAAATGGCCGTGGTCTGCCGTGCTCCACACGGGAGCACGGCAGACCACCTGCTCATTTTCTGAGGACGTCCCGAGCGAAAACGTCATTTTTACATAAGAGGTTCTAAAACACCTCTGTCGGCATCTCATTTTTTCGAGGATGTCTCGAGCGAAACGCTCATTTTTCATGCATAACAAAAATTTTTGATATTTTTCAACATCCCGATTTTTTGAGGATGTCTCGAGCGAAACCGTCATTTTTGACATAAGACGTCTTAAGCGATAGCCTCCAACACCTCGATTTTTCGAGGATGTCTCGAGCGAAATGGCCATTTTGGGGAACGGCAGACTACGCACGAGCACGGCAGACCACAGGAGGACGGAGGATTACACAGGAGCAAGGCAGACCACAGGAGCACGGCAGACCCCAAAGGAGCACGGCAGACCACACAGGACACGGCAGACTCCACGGGAGCACGCCAGACCACACAGGAGCACGGCAAACCACACACGAGCACGGCAGACCATACAGGAGCACGCCAAACCACACAGGAGCACGGCAGACCACACGTTCGCACGGCAAACTCCACAGGAGCACGGCAGACACCAAAGAAGCACGGCAGTGGTGTTGCTGGTTTGGTCCCCTCGGGATACCGCATTGACGTGTTGCTGGTTTGCCCCCCCCAGGATACCTTCTTGACGTGTTGCTGGTTTGTCCCCTCAGCACCTTCTTGACGTGTTGCTGGTTTGCCCCCTCAGGATAACTTCTTGGCGAGTGGCTGGTTTTGCCTCAGGGTAACTTATTGAAGTGTTGGTGGTCGACCACCTCAGCACCTTCTTGGCGTGTTGCTCGTTTGCCCCCCTCAGGATAACCTTTGACGTGTTGCTGGTTTGCCCCGTCAGGATAACTTCTTCACGTGTTGCTGGTTTGCCCCCCTCAGCATCTTTTGGACCTGTGGCTGGTTTGCCCCCTCAGGATAACTTCTTGACGTGTTGCTGGTTTGCCCCCCCCAGGATAACTTCTTGACGTGTTGCTGGTTTGCCCCCCAGGATAACTTCTTGACGTGTTGCTGGTTTGCCCCCCTCAGCACCTTCTTGACGTGTTGCTGGTTTGCCCCCCAGGATAACTTCTTGACGTGTTGCTGATTGGTTCCCTGGGTAACTTCTTGACGTGTTGCTGGTTTGCCCCCCAGGAGCAAGGCAGACCACAGTGGAGCACGGCAGACCACTTTGCGATTTTTTGAGGATGTCTCGAGCGAAATGGCCGTGGTCTGCCGTGCTCCACGCGTCAGCACGGCAGACCACCTGTTCATTTTCTGAGGACGTCCCGAGCGAAAACGTCATTTTTGACATAAGAGGTTCTAAAACACCTCTATCGGCATCTCAATTTTTCGAGGATGTCTCGAGCGAAACGCTCATTTTTCATGCATAACAAAAATTTTTGATATTTTTCAACATCCCGATTTTTTGAGGATGTCTCGAGCGAAATCGTCATTTTTAACATAAAACGTCTTAAACGATAGCCTCCAACACCTCGATTTTTCGAGGATGTCTCGAGCGAAATGGCCATTTTGGGGAATCCGCCAATGAAAAATCCCGTGCGCCCGCGCAACCCATAGATATAAAGATATATATATATATATATATACTCAAGGATTCAGCCAGAACGTCCCGCTTGCTTCTCAATGAAAACCCCCGTGCAATCGCGCAACCCATAGATATAAATATATATATATATATATATATTTACTCAAGGATTCAGCCAGAACGTCCCGCTTGCTTCTCGTACCTCGAAGACGTTTCCCGTCATCCGCCAATGAAAACCCCCGTGCAATCGCGAACCCATAGATATAAAGATATATATATATATATATATATATATTTACTCAAGGATTCAGCCAAAACGTCCCGCTTGCTTCTCGTACCTCGAAGACGCTTCCCGTCATCCGCCAATGAATGCCCCCGTGCAGCCCCGCAACCCATAGATATAAAGATACATATATATTTACTCAAAGATTCAGCCAGAACGTCCCGCTTGCATCTCGTACCTCGAAGACGCTTCCCGTCATCCGCCAACGAAAACCCCCGTGCAGCCGCGCAACCCATAGATATAAAGATATATATATATATATATATATATATATATATATACAAGGATTCAGCCAGAACGTCCCGCTTGCTTCTCGTACCTCGAAGACGCTTCCCGTCATCCCCCCGTGCAGCCCCGCAACCCATAGATAATAAAGATATATATAATATATATATATATATTTACTCAAGGATTCAGCCAGAACGTCCCGCTTGCTTCTCGTACCTCGAAGACGCTTCCCGTCATCCGCCAGCGAGGTCCGGGATGGATCGGTGGCCCTTAGTTAAGAGAAAATGAAGCCCCAAAACCAACGGTGCACGCGGAGGCGCTTCCCGTCATCCGCCACCGTGCCCCTGTGGCATGAAGTGGGGTGTCCCCAAGTCTCTTCCTCCACCCTTGAGCCCCAATCCTCAAGATTGACGACTCTTGGGCTCCAGGCGCGCCTCCTGAACTCACC